GAGTCCAGGCTCACACACAACGTGAAAATACATGGTAAGAGCTTAGGCACCAATCCAACAAGCTGACCCATGCAAGTGGACCTCTATGACCGCATGGAGATCCACTGCCTTCAACAGGAGTCTTTCCACAAAAATACACTTGAGGCCAATTTAAACAATGAACCATACGTCAAATGCACTCTTTTCAACCCCTGACAAATTGAAGCTGGTGAATTAACCACTGAGTTCAGCTTTTGTTTTCAAAAAACGAACAAAAAAACCTTTACAAAACTAATTGCAACTTCAAAGACTAAGTTTCACTCCCTTTTCTATGACGAGCAGCCTTCCAATATTCTACTTGTCACTGTTTTTTTTTTTTTTTTAAACACAAACACACACACACACACACACACAGTAGACAACGAGTAAAATGTTTTTAGTTCTCTCATTATGGGAAGAGATGAGAAAATGTTGTTTGTTAAGTATTAAATATAAATTTTATATAGTGATGTAGGCAAGCGGCTACCTCAAGTACTGGCCCACATATCTGTCATGATGTTTTAGTCTCCCTCTCCTTACCTTATGTCTGTGCTGGACACTAGTATGCTGCTACAGCATTGTTCCCATTCAATTTTGCAATCTTTGGCCTGGTCTACACTACAGAGTTAGGTCAACATAAGGCAACTTACAGCGACCTAACTATGTCAGTGTCTACACTAGAATGGTGCTCCCACCGATGCTAAGCCGCCCATTACATCGGCCTAATAACTCCACCTCTGCAAAAGGCATAGCACTTAGGTCAATGTAGTTAGGGTGACACAGTGTCTGTGTAGACACTGCATTACTCACATCTCCTGCTGGCAGTCCAGAGCCCTGCCACCAACTCCTGGTGAGGAATTGGGGGGCAGAAGGAGAACCCAAGCCCAGCCACTGCCCAAACTGGGCTCCCCTCCTCCCCATGAGGCTGCAGCAGGGCTCCAGGCTATCAGCCCAGCAGCAGGGCTCCTAGTGGGAGTGTCCCCCACTCCCTGACCTAGGGCTGACAGCCCAAGTTATGAGCCCAGCACAGGGCTCAATTTCACAGCAGGGTGCCTACCTGCAGTGAAACTGACATTCTTGTCAGTTTCACAGCTGCTATTATTTCAAGCAGGAATCAGAGAGGAAATGTGAAATAATAGCAGCTGTGAAGCTGACAGGAATGTCAATTTCACTGTGGGTAAAATTGGTGTGAAATTGAGCCCCTGCCTGGCTCACAGCTGGTGCCATCAGTGCCCCACTTCAGTCAGTGAAAGTGCTCCTGGCGAGGACACACCCTACCAGCAGAAGGAGGGTAATGTAGACACAACCGCTGATTTAATTACTGCAGAAGCTGAAGGTCAACCTAATTTTGTAATGTAGACAAGCCCTCAGTTTGAAGACAGAGCTTGAGCTGCTTCAAGTCAAGGTTAGGGTTTGATGTTGCCTACATTCATTGGCACATTAAAAGTACATTTGACTGAATATGAAGTTACAGGAGGCAATGGGTGGTACAGGCAAGGTCTTACCCTGGTTAATGGAATGTGAACTTTTTTATTTCCAAAACCCATTTTCCTGCTATTGTTACAAACAACCCCTAGAGTAAACCTGAAAGACAGAGAAAAAGATTATCTATTTTTTCAGGTTGTTTACTTCAGGCATGTGCATTTCCCATGTTAGACCCCAACCCTACAAAGAGCTCCTCGCACAGACTCACACTTTGCACAGATTCTTTTCCTTCAGCAGGGCCTTAATTAGCGGTTTCCCCTGTTGTTTCTGTGGGTGTTACTCACCAACAGAAAAAAAGTCATGTTTAAAATAGAGAAGAGGTGATTGCAGCGGTGTACCACTCAAGACTACTTTTAACTCATCATCCTGCTACATTTGCCCCCAAAGGATGCCCCACACAGGCATGGCGACCCTGGTGTAGAGCCCTGCAGCCCAAGACAGCCACACCTGTAGCACGGGTAGCACAGCAGTGAACCCTGCAGCGACATCAGCTGCTGCAAGTGACATTCAGACAAGATGAAAGGTTAAGGCTGCGCCCTGTTATTAACGTATCATGCAGGGAGAGCCTCCCCGGGCGGCTCATGTTTTTCATGACACATCCCCCTGGCCTAGGAGCCTGGTGATGCTGCAGCATCCTCTGCACAGCCCGCAAATCACAGCCAAGCCCCAACCCACCCAGGCACCACGAGATGGGGTGGCTGCATCTACAGCAGGACGCCCGGCCAAGGGGTGGGGAAGAGACCTCCAGCCGCGCAGCCCAGGGGAGGGTTCTAGCCCCGCAGCCCAGGGGAGGGGTCTAGCCCCCCGGTACGCCCGGCCTAGGGGAGAAGGGTCATGCTGCACTCGCCCCCCGCCGCCGCACTCACCGCAGGGATGGGATGGGAGGGGGGATTCTCTGCGGTCTGCTCCTGCGGGGCCCGGGCTGTGCGCCCCGCTGTCTCGGATGAATGCCGGCAACCGGCGGCCCCTGGCAGCTAAGGGGTGGGATGGGCAGGGCTCCGCGCACACCCGGCCAGCGTCCTGTGCTCTGGCCCCTCCCCCGCCCCAGAGCACACGCCCCGGAAATCAAGCCAGGCTCCGACGCCGGTGCTGACAGCTGACAATGAGGTAAGCGCCTGCTACTGCGCACGCGCAGCTGCTGCCGGAAACAGCATGCGCGCGCCCGTCCTACTCCGTCCTCTCCCTCGCCCCGCCGGGGCGCGCGCGCCGTTCTCTTCCCTGTTCCATTGCTCTCAACGGCTTTTCCCGCCCGCCCTGACTCAAAGCTGCGCTGGGAGAAGGAGCGTGTGGCTAGGCCAGGCCTCCCCGTAGGGGCTGGGGGCGGGCGCTGAGGCTGTCTGCATTTGACACACCCGACCGCAGTATGCGGATGGTTCGGGGGGCCACGCCCTGCCTCTAGCGGGGAGTTGGACAGCCGGGGGGGCACACACGTGCTCGCCCATGAAGCCGTCTGGTCAGTTTCTTGGCGCGCCCATTGCTATGCCGGTTCTTCATCGGTTTAGTGTCAAGCCTGCTTGCTCTTGCCACTCCCAGCCAGCTGCGTCTCTGCACGTCTCAATAGTATTTCCTGGACTCTCCTGGCTTTTGGCCTCTGCACACTGGAGCACCAATAGGATTTCAATCTCTGGGCCAGGGCTGCCGGGGGGGCAAGTGGGGCAATTTGCCCTGGGCCCTGCAGGGGCCCCCACGAGAATATAGTATTCTATAGTATTGCAACTTTTTTTTTATGGAAGGGGCCCCCAAAATTGCTTTGCCCCAGGCCCCCTGAATCCTCTGGGCGGCCCTGCTCTGGGCAGCCTAGAAGAACCTCTCATTGGGTTTTTGTTTAGATATTTCAAATTTTTCACCTCCATGCTTTGCCTAAGTGTCTGTGTTTACCTCAGTTCAGGCCTGTGATTCAGCATCTATACCTCAGTGGTTGGCTTTTGCCATCAGTATCTGTATTTCAGTGCTTCTGCAATTTATTTATTCATTTGTTTATATGCATTGTCTCAGTTTTATCTGTGGTTTTGGAGTACCAAAGTGTCTCATTCTTAGTATCTAATTTTTCTGCATGTCAGTTTCCTCATACCCTCCAGAAGAAGAAAGACTACTCCGAAGCCTTGAGGTGTGTCCATGTAGAAGAAAAACATCCTTAAAATTGATGAGCACATTTGCTGCAATCTCTGCCTAGAAGTTGGGCACACACTGCACAAGGATGTCAGAGCTGTTTGTAGATGTCAGTCCAGCTATTGGGAATGCCTCCAGCCAGAGATGTTGGAACTATTTTTATAGTGGAGGTGCTGAGAGTCATTGAACCAAACTGTAAACCCTGTATATAATGGAAACCACTTCAAGCCAGGGCGTGTGGCAGCACTTCTAGTTCCGCACCTATGCCTCCAGGTTCTCCTGGAAACAATCCGTGAAATTCTGGCATGAGGCCAGTCCAGTGTCCTTCAAAAAAACAAACCCACTTGAAGTACCTATATACCACTTATTGTCATAGTTTGAGTGCCTCTGAAACATTAATACATTTAACCTCATAACATCTCAGAAGCATGATTATCCCCATGGTGTAGATGAGGAAAATGAAGCAAGAGAGATTGTCATTTAGCAAAGTCACAAAGATAGCAAATCCAGGAAATAATCCCAAATTTCCTGACACCCAGCCCATTGCCTTACCCACAAGTCCATTCTTCCCTTGAGTCAGCTTCAACCACTAAAAACATAAGGACTCAGTAAACCTACTACCTGCATCAGAATAAACTTAGCTCTCCCCTAATATGTTTGGGAAAGCAGCCTTACTGTCTCCACTAAAGCATTCTGCATCATCCCCTCCACACACAGGAGAGCATGGGCTACTACTTTGTGAAAGAGAGAAGGTGTTTTATGCCATGCACTTCCTGAAAATCAAAAAGACAGGAAGATTCTGGCCCATCCTGAATCTCAACCTGAGTTAGTATTAAATCAAGGAAAATATGGCTACCCTACAAAACAAAATATCTCTTCTAGAAGTAGGTGATTGGCTATACACTCTGGACTTTGCTGATATATAAAAATAATTACATCCCAATCACCAGTAGTGTTTCTGGGTCCTTCTAGCTGAGTGTCTTGCTATGCTGTCTGCACATGTGCAGAAATAAAGAGTATTCAGTTAAAATCCATGTCTCCTTCCCACTGCTTCTCCCTTTTTCTTGGACCAAACAAAGTCAAATACTGCAGTATAAAGCACGTTGGTTATATGAGGAACAGATTTGTTGTCTTCTCCCAATTTCCCATACGGGCTTCACTGCTGTTGAGGTAGTTCAATTAGCTATTTACAGATCAACGCCTAAACAAAATAAATCATTTCAAAAGTTTCACTAGAAATTATTCAAATTCTGTAGTCTTAATTGGATTTTTTTAAATCAATATTAGGTCCAGTTTCATCAAACATCTAAGATCTGGATCAAAGAACCTTAACTATAGAAAAAATGGGAAAATTCTAAGAGAAGAGATAATAAAGCACAAGTGTTATAAGAAGCACACGGGATCTTTTATAGAGAAGGCAAAAACACTGCATTTATTGAAAATACAACAGTTAGCATATGCTTTTTAGTCACACAGAGTCCTGCCAGTTGATGTTTATAGTTACCAGTCTATTGTAGCTCGAGTCAATCTAATGGCCAGTTAGATTGAGCACGAGTGTGGAGCTAGGCTCTTGTCGGTCGTGATCCGATGCTCTGAGGCTTTGCAGGACTGAACCCAGAGTTCCATGGCAAAAGACCCCAGCTTTATAGTTGTAAATTCCCATTTGAGTCCATGCATTTTGCAATGTCATTCTGTAATCATTAGTCCTTACGTGGTGTTATCATTCGATGGTTATTGTCGGGCTTCCCATCGTTATCTCCTATTTGTTGTCTCGCCTTCTGGGGTGCCTGCCTCATCTCTGAGGTCGTCAATGCTGCTAACATGTTTAGCATCGGATACAATGGATGTTTTCTGATTGTCTCCTGGTTTTTCCAAGTCTCTCACTTTTTCTTGACCATCTGGACATTTGTGATGTCTTTCACACCTTATCTTTTCCTGATGCATGCATTCCTCATTCACACCAACAATCTTTTACAGAAACCTTCAAAGGTATACAGACAGTATTTTATATTCAGCAGAATACATTGTAAATCAAACCTTGCTAAATCTTATAACTAAAACAATTCACATTGGGGCTTCAGGCCCTCAACATTCCTCTAATCTCCTTAACGTAGATACAATACAAGATCCTGTCTCTTACTTACTAAAACCTTAAAGGAAAGAAATGTATATTTAACTAGAGTGCCTAATTTGTAATACATATAGGAAACCATAGTAGACATTATAACTTATCCTAAAACAAAAGGGTGACCATAATCAGTCATAAGGATTGTTCTGATTCATAGATTCATAGATTCTAGGACTGGAAGGGACCTCGAGAGGTCATCGAGTCCAGTCCCCTGCCCGCATGGCAGGACCAAATACTGTCTAGACCATCCCTGATAGACATTTATCTAACCTACTCTTAAATATCTCCAGAGATGGGGATTCCACAACCTCCCTAGGCAATTTATTCCAATGTTTAACCACCCTGACAGTTTTCCTAATGTCCAACTTTTTCCTAATGTCCAACCTAGACCTCCCTTGCTGCAGTTTAAGCCCATTGCTTCTTGTTCTATCCTCAGAGGCTAAGGTGATCTGTCATTCCTTTCTGCTATTCAAAAAGGGTGGCTGGCAGGATAAAATCAAATCATACATTAATTCTCAGTACAATTATAAAATCCTGCTCCTACACAAGTGCAAAATGGGAGTACTAAGAGCCTGGGTCAAAGGCTACTGGAGTCAATGTAAAAGATGCCATTGACTTCAGTAAGGTAAAAGTTCTAGATCTCTAGCAAGGTTAATGAAAAATAATGTTTTGCTACATGAGAAAATTTTGGAGTACAAGAATATTAGTTATTCCAAAATCTTTGGCGGTGTCTGTAAGAATTTTCTCTTTATTGAATTCCCTTACAAAATTTGATCCCTCGTTACATATTCTAAAAATATTGCATACGCTACTCAAATCTCTTTCTCCTTCGCCTTGTCCCATCAATCCAGTTTGGCAGTTCTTGTTCCTCATCAAGCATTTTTGTCAAGTACATCTTCTAAGCTGAAACCAACCTTCTTCATGTCTTCCTTCAGTTTCTTGAACCGCCTTTTTCTAGGTCTTCCTCATGGTCTTTGTTCTCTGACCACTAGCTCTTGTACTCTGTGGCCAACATATCCCACATCTCATTGTCTCACATGACCCAGCCATCTCAGCTGATACTCCCTCAGCTTTTCCATGATGGGACCTGCCTCCATCATGGGTCATACTGTTTCATTGCATAGTCTGTCAGCTCTTGTCTTACCCAGCATCCACCTGCACATTCTCATTTTGGTAGTGGATGTAGTTGTTCTTCTGTCTTCCTCATTGGCCAGCATTCTGACCTGTATGTCATGATACTTATACACTTTGCTCTTTGGTTTACATGGCATATATTTATAGTATAAAATTCCCATCAACTTCTCTGTTTACACCAAGCACTCTTCATTTGCTCCTAACATCCACATCCATGTTCCCATGACTCAACACTAAATCAAGATATTTAAATTAGGGCTGTCAATTAATCACAGTTAACTCACACGATTAACTCAAAAAAAGTAATAGCGATTTTAAAAATTAATCGTAGTTTCAATCGCACTGTTAAACAATAGAATAACAATTTATTAAATATTTTGGATGTTTTTCTATGTTTTCAAATATATTGATTTCAATTAAAACACAGAATACAAAGTGTGTACTGCTCGCTTTATATTATATTTTATTACAAATGATAAACAAAAGAAATAGTATTTTTCAGTTCACTCATACAACTACTGTATGATAATGCAACTTACAAATGTAGATTTATTTGTT